GAATGTTTCTTTCACAAATAAACAAACAAATGTTCCCCACTGCGATCAAAGACCCTCCCAATATTTTTTTTCATCGTAGTGAAGACGGTGTAAGTTGGTTTTATGTGTGAAAAAACATTCGTGATTTAATGGTTTCATTTCCTATAGAAGACTTATGTATTCCTTTCTTTTGCCACTTATAACCCCTGGTAGGTTGTATAAGGCCGTATTCAACCAGCCCAGAGGGAACCTGAACCCTCCCTCCCCCCTTAACTTAATTCTCGAAAGACAAAAATCTAATTCAGCTGTGCGTATCATGGACTTCTGGAGCGTACCAAAGTCATCAACTCCTCGACAGGAAATTTTTTCTCTCAATTAGTTATGTACCACATTGAAGTCATATACTATCAGGTATAAAGAGACAAAGGTCGCCTCTCTTGTCGAAATAGACGTCAACAACGCCCTCTATTGACCGTCGCCGCAAACTAGCGACCTCAGGTCGGTGACAAATCCCTTGTGGATCTCATGGAATAAAGTCCGCCCTAGGCTGACGAGGGCCATTAGCCTGAAACCATGGTCTCTAGGTGGACGCTTTTCAGTTTGCCAAAGCTGGTGTTGTGGCTTTGTCACCGACCCGAGGCCGCTAGTTTGCGGCGACGGTCAATAGAAGGCGTCTAGTTTTGACGTCTATTTTGACGGGAGAGTCGACTTTTGTCTTTTTAGATCAATATCCTCCCGGCAAAATTTCCAACTATCAGGTATGTATCTCTACATGCTTGCTTGTGGGTAAATTATGATAAATAAAGATAACTTACCTTTTCACGGTAGAACGATAAGGTGGATTGGGAAAGATGGTTGGGATCTGTGGGGTCAGCATTCTTCCACGGGGTAATGGTGGCGTTGAACTGGGCGGTTCTGGAGACACAAAGTGAGATGTCAGGAAAGTTAAAAACAGTAAGATATTAATTTTTATAGTAATTATAAAAAAGCAATGCGTTTGTTGATATTATCTGCGTATAGGGCTCATACACACAGATCAGTACATATTAAAACATCATATTTAAAGGAGAAAAATTCATTTTTCGCATATATTTCAATTTGTATTTCTAAAATTACAATAGATATCCGTCTGATATTTCAACCTTACTGCTTCACCAACTGAAAGCAATTTCTGGGATATTCTGTCGATTTCGTTATTTTCCTTCTTGGATGTTACGTAATTACAAGGTTGTCCCAAAAGTTCGTAAACACTTGCAGAAAATTAAAATACCAATATTATTCGCCGTTATGTATAATGTCTTTGTATTATGTATAAAGTAATTGTATTATGTATTATTATGTATTCGTCCTAAAAATATCATTCGCCAAGTAATAAGAAAAAACGTTTTAATAAAAACACGAACTTTTGGAACAACCTTATAATAGCCATCTTTCTTTCAGGCCGTATCTCTAAACCATGATATACAGGTGGGGGTTGGTGGAAGGATGGTCTGAACCGTTGGTTTACGACCGCTACGATCCGGGTTCGATTCCCGCATTAGGCGCTTTTTTCTGATTAAAAAAAATGCTCAAATGGCCTCCGATTCTTGCAAAATTCCAACCCCACCAGCGAGTGCAAGTAACCAAACGGGGCTATGGCATATTTGTAAGTGCAAAGTCGAACTGCTTTTCACATGTGTAGATATGTGGTTCACTTACAGTAAAAGCAGTCGCCTTCTTCTACCCACCATGATTATCATGGCTTGTACTACCTGTACTAGGGATAAGTAAAAAAAAAAGATATACAAGTTACTTTTTGTTCGAAGTTGTCAAATAGCTGGTGTTGTGGTATATTTACCGATCTATGTGCCATGAACAAATAATATCAAACGCATTTCATCCATAAGAAAGCATTAAAGCACGACTATGTTTCTTTCACACACATAACAAACTTCTACTGTCTTTACTGCGATGAAAATATATTGCGGAAGAGTATTGCTTGATGCAAATATTTATATGTAATTCTACTATCCTAAAAGCTTATATCTATAATTTGTTTGAATAACATTTCAAATATTCCTCACTTCAGTGTAGCATATATAAGCAGAATCTTATAGTTTTCTCTCGTAGTTTTCTTGAAAACCATTTCTGAGATTCCTTCCTTCAGTGCTGCGTATATAAGCAGAATCTTCCAATACAGTATTAGAGCTCTGAGAACCGGTCTGGTGGATTAAATTGGCGAATCCGCTGGGAGGGTTCACCACTGATGAGTCAAGCCCTCCCAATATATTTTTTCATCGCAGTAAGGACAGTAGACGTTTGTATTATGTATAAAAGAAACATTCGTGCTTTTAAATCCTTTCATTTTATAAGCAGAATCGTACAATACAGTATTAGAGCTCTGCTTGATGCAAATATTTATACGTAATTCTACTATCCTAAAAGCTTATATCTATAATTTGTTTGAATAACATTTCTGAGAGTCCATTCTTCAGTGTAGCATATATAAGCAGAATCGTACAATACAGTATTAGAGCTCTGCTTGATGCAAATATGTATATGTATTTCTACTATCCTAAAAACTTATTGATGTATATAGTTGTTTATTTGTTTTGCATAATATTTCATTTATAAATTAATCTCATAATTTAGTCTGTGAAAATATAAAATATTGGAGTGGTGACAAAAACAGAACTGAAAATAGATGGTTTAATGTTATGTAGTTAAGATATATAATTAATTGTGATGGTTATGTAATTTTGATTTTCATTGAATAAAATATATAAAGTTTAAATGTGTTTTAAACTCTAATAACAAGCACAAAACACTTATATCTATAATTTGATTGAATAACATTTCTAAGAGTCCATTCTTCAGTTTAGCATATATAAGCAGAATCGTACAATACAGTATTAGAGCTCTGCTTGATGCAAATATATATATGTAATTCTACTATCCTAAAAGCTTATGTCCTTCCATAATTTGCTTGAATAACATTTCTAAGAGTCTATTCTTCAGTGTAGCATATATAAGCAGAATCGTACAATACAGTATTAGAGCTCTGCTTGATGCAAATATTTATACGTAATTCTACTATCCTAAAAGCTTATGTCCTCCCATAATTTGCTTGGATAACATTTCTAAGAGTCCATTCTTCAGTGTAGCATATATAAGCAGAATCGTACAAAACAGTATTGGAGTTCTAAGAATCTGTCTGGTTGATTAAATTGGCGAAACCGTTTGGAGGGTTCACCATTGATGAGCTAAGCTCTCCTAATATATTTTCATTGTAGTAAGAATAGTAGAATTTTGTTTTATGTGTAAAAGAAACATTTATAATTTAATATTTTCTTTTCTTTTGAATAGATGTCGTATTGTGTATTTATGCATGTTAAAGAGAGTCTTACATTGAATTATACCATTCTTCCTCAAAATCTGTTAAAAATCCTGTGATTACAGGTCAGTTGAGCTTTGGAAAAAAAAAAGGAAAATTTCTGATTCCAGAGGTCGCGGACGAAATCTCTCTCAAAATTAGCGTAATTTTTAACAAGTATTAAACACTAGGTAATAAAGCCAAATCCAAATAAATAAATAGTGTGTGGCGTTTCGATAACAGCGTTGTTACCATCTTTAGACAAAAGTACTGAATGAGAAAATTTCACCACAGCATGTTACATTTTCTCATTCAGTACTTTTGTCTGAAGATGGTAACAACGCTGTTACCGAAACGTCACACACTATTTATTTATTTGGATTTGGTCTTATTGCCTTGTGTTTATAATCTATAATCCAAATTGTGCCTTATCAATAAGTATTGAACTTACGTTCGGTCACTGGGATCTTGATCAAGGCCATCAAGAACTTTGACTTCCTCAGCTGTGAAGCGGAGTTTCTTGATGAGAAAGAGGAATTTCAACTGTTCTTGTTCGGGACAATGGCCTCTTTGGGCGACATTGAACACGCGCAGTTTGCAGTGACTCCAGGTCTTGTGGTAGCGGAGTAGATGGGGTACGAGGAGGGTCAGTCCTGGACACAACTATCTGTTAGACATGTTGCACCAATGGAAGATTTAAGAATGATTGCATTTTGAAAAATGTGACGGTTTAATATACACTCGAAATCTTCTTAAGCTACTAAATTTACGACAATGTAACTAACTGTATTAAATTTACAATTATATTCTCACAATGAGTATTTTTTTTATTTAAAAAAACGCTAGCTTTCAAGCGTTAATCGCTCTTCAACGGGCTTACTATAATATTGACTTGATCCCACCAGAAATATTTACAAAAAAACAAACGCGCGCAGCGTGGATATATTTATAACTGAAAATTTTCTATAATTTTATAAGTGACAAACTCTCATTAGAGAACATTGATTTAGGAATCTTCATATCTCGACATGATTTCAAAGGACAGTTTTCATTTGCAAAATTACCATTTTTTACCTTTTTGCAACTCTCCAGTAAGAGGACAACTCTCCCTAAAAGACACTCTGGCTCTGCAATTAGGTGTCCTTTATAGGGAGGTTCTACTGTATATGTATATTATAGTATATTTAGAGAGAGCATATATAGCCTCAAAATAAACTTCTTTTAAATTATTGCCAAAATACCAATACTCAATCACACTTATGGATAAAATTTAAGAATGTTGTACCTTTTAACATGTATATCAGGATTCAAACAATATCTCTGAAATATATTTAATATACAGTGACCTTTATTGAAGACACACGAGATAATCAAGTGTGAACAAAATTGCCTATTACGATGCACTAGCGCGCCATCTGTTATCAAATTACGAAACTATTTTAGACGCGTAATATTCTTTTTAAAAATAAAACAATTTCTACTGCCCTTACTGCAATGGAAAAATTAAAGGGAGTCTATGTCTATGTCTCCTTAAAAAAAAGATAACCAGCTATATCAAAGATTTTCCACTTCAATAAGTTTTGTCTATGAGTATAAGTAGGATTGAATGTAGTGGAATATTATAGTTAATCCAGATGCGTAGAGTACAGAGATAGATTGAGAGGAATCAGGCTTAAGCACTTAGTGTCCTCAAGTGGTCACCCTCCCAAGTATTGACCGGGCAATGATATTGCTTAAATTTGGTGATCGGACGAGAACCGCTGTTTTCAACGTGGTATGGCTGTAAGCAATAGCATATACAGTATAACCTCCATGAGAGAACACTCACGCTAAAGGACACCTTTCTATAAAGGACTGTTTTCATTTGAAAAATTACCATTTTCACCTTTTTGCAACTCTCCAGTATGAGGACACCTCTCTCTAAAGGACACTTTGGCTCTGCAGCTAGATGTCCTTTACAGAGAGGTTGTACTGTATATGTATATTATAGTATATTTAAAGAGAGATACACAATCCATGTTATTTCTAAGACTTTCGTGATACTTACCTCCTTCATCATTTAACCACCAGACATCAATGGTTCCATTCGAAGGCCTCTGGAAAATGTTCAGGGTCTCCAAAGTAGATTCCTTCAGCTGACAAGGAGATTCTTGGGCAATGTTTTCCATTGAGATGGTCACAGAAGGAGAGTCCTTCTTCTCTGTAACATAACAGATTTTGTTACACATGTGTGACTCCGTTTGTATATATATTATTTGTATATATATTATTTTCAAATATAATTCATATTGAATGTCCTCATGTTTTTTGCATATACACCTATCCCCCGATTTACACGTTAGATACGTTCCTGAGAAAAACGTGTAAATCGGGGGATAGGTGTACACAGAAATAAAAATAAAATGCATTGACAGGTTAAAATATGTAGTCAGCACATAAGCTCGGGATTCCTCGTGAGATGTGTACACAGCGCATGTGTTCAATCACAGTAGCATTTAGTATAGTGCGATAAAAACAAAAACAAAAAAAACTTATTTGGAAAACCGTGTAAAAGCGAAAATGTGTAAAACAAGTACCTTGTAAATCGGGGGATAGGTGTACACACTTACAAATGAATTTCAGAAAACACGTTTTTTTTTTCAATAATAAACTGATTTATTCAATAAGTCTTTTAACTAAATTATTTAACCCGGGTAAACGTTGGTTCCAATGTAAATTCAATAGAGCTTAAAACGAGACAATATAGTCGCAAGATAAACATACGTATATTACCAGTTGCAAACAAGACACAAGACATATATATATAACTTGAGTTAAAAGGTGATCCATTAATTAAGATTATATAAAAGGGCGTACCTGGATCTGTAAAGAAAAAAAAACAATTTTTTTCTTAAAATATTTCGAGAGATTGCTCCCTCTTTATCAATTTATTGCACATTTTCTTCACAGATCCAGGTACGCCCTTTTATATAATATATATAACTCTCTAAAATTTAGAGTCTAAATTATATTTACATATATAATGTTGAAAACTATTTTATGTGTTAGAATTCTTTTTTACAAGTTTTACTTTTAACACATGAGGAAAATATATTAAGTTTAAAATTTAAAAATAAAATCATTAGAAATTGTGTCATACCAGTTTAAGTATATTATGAATTTTAAAAAATAGTTACCCATGAATGGTTTTACTGTAATGGGGAAAAAAATATGTTAAAAATGAGAGAACCTTAACAATGATACCTATATAAATAGTGATTGAGGTATGTTCACTCTCTATTTTTATTATTACAGTTAAACCTGCCTATAGCGCCCCCTCTTGGGACTCACCAAAATATGGCGCTATAGAGAGGGGGTTCTATAGACAAGTCACTTTTAATGTAAAATGTTTACATTTATTGTTTAAAATCGGGCGCTATAGAGAGGAAGGTGCTATTTAGAGGGGGCGCTATAGACAGGTTTAACTCTATTATTATTAATCATTATATTATTACAGTGGCACTAAAAATAAATCGTTTATACCAAAATAATTTAATCGAGAAACTTCCCATTGTTACACTGAATAATAAAAATCACTTATTATTGGTGTATTTTATAAAATCTATTACCAGGTCTATTAGTATGAAACGCGAAAATTTTCAGTGAATTCAAAAGTTCACCAATTCCATACAACAAAATATTTTTATTCAAAGTAATTGCCCTGATTAGCTATACACTCGGACCACCTTTCAGGCAATTTTCGAATTCCTTGTCTGAAAAATTCTATTCCTTTTGAGTCGAACCAGTCAACAAGCCATTTTCGGAGTATGTCTGAGTTCGAAAATTCCTGGTTTTTTAGGGCGTGTCCTAAAGATGTGAATTCGTGAGAAGAATTGTGAATGACGGCGCTAAGTCTGGTGAGTACGGCGGGTGGGGTAAGAATTCCCAGCCCAAGTCTTTTATGGTGTTTTTGACCACTGTAGCGTTGTGGGCTGGAGCGTTGTCATGCTGCAGTATCAGCTTGTTGTGCTTTTCACGCAATTCCGGTCTTTTTTCATTCAATGCCTCTCTCAAACTGTGCATTTGTTATTCGTAGCGACTAGTATTGACCGTTTTGCCAGGTTTCAGGAGCTTGAAATATACTACGCCGGTCTGGTCCCACCATACGCAAAGCATTGCCTTTTTTCCTAAGCGATTGGGCCTAGGCTTCCGTTTTGGAAATTGGCCGAGCAGGCCCCACGACTTTTGGCGCATAGGATTGCTGAAGTGGATCGATTTCTCATCAGAAGTTACGATTCGGTGCAAAAATGACTTCTTTTCATGCCTGGCGAGCAGCCCTTCGCAGGTTACCAGACGCCGTTCTTGCTGCCTTTCGCTCAACTCGTGAGGGACCTATCTGGAAAGCTTTTGGGTCATTCTGAGGCTGTTTAAACGTAGGGAAACAGAACCTTGAGAGACCTGGAGCTGTTTCGCGAGTTTCTCCTGCGTTTGGGTACTGTCGTCATCCAACAAAGCTTGCAGTTCAGCGTCCTCGAACTTTTGGGGCGGTTTTCCACGTGGTTCATTATCAAGTTCGAAATCGCCCTTTGGAATTTTTTAAACCACCTGTAACTCTGTGATTTGCTCAGAGCGTGGTCGCCGTGAACTTCCTCGAGCATTCGGTGGGTTTCAGTGGCACTTTTCTTCCAGTTGAAGGCGAACAACAAAACTTCCCGCAAATGGGCACTTTTTGGCTCGGAAATCACCATTTTCCACGGGCTCCAGAATTTTTCCACGATTTGAATTTTTCTAAAACTCCACACATGCTGATGCCACGTGAGTCTAAAAACAAAATGCCTTCAACGGCGCCACCGTCGGCTCAAATAAAGTTGCACAGCGCCCTCTGGCAGCCATTTTCGCGTTTCATACTAATAGATCTGGTATAACGATATCCTTACTTACATATAATAAGTGTAAAACGAAAATTGCAATTATACCACGAATGTTTCTTTTGAACGAAAAATCTAAATTTATTTAAAGGAGAAATAGCGATTATTTCTAACCTTAAGGATGAAGTATGATAGGATGAATTGTGAAGAGTAATGATAAACGGAAAAATAAAAGCGTCCAGGGATGGGAATCGAACCCACAGTGTTACGCTTTTTTTTTTTTTTTTTCGATTTTTCGTTCAAAAGAAACATTCGCGGTATAATTGCAATTTTCGTTCTATAGTCATAAGCTGTATTATATTGTATTATATAATAAGTGTGTGTATATACCATGGTATACCATGTATATATACCATATATGGTATAGTGTGTGTTAGAGAGATATGTCTCAGTTTTACTATTTTCTCTTTTATTTCTAATCTCTGTGATTTCTCTTATTTGGAAGTTTTTGACCCTAAGTGGTTGTTAAGTGAATATTTTTAGAGGAATTTTAGTGTATCACAGGGTACTTACTTGTGTCCTTGAGGTGAAAGTTGAGTTGGTTGATGGCCTTGGGAATAGGGAATCCTGCTGAGTCCTCGAAATGTGTGGAAAGTCCGTTGACGCCAGGAACTCTTAGGATGATAAATGCGAGGTGTAAGTCCAAGGCATGGCTGTTGACATGACCCATGTTAGTAGAATCCTGTGAGACATATAATAGAATGTATATAAAAATTCGAAACTATTATATACCCGTAAAAATTAAACAAACTCCGCCTTTGCCGGTCCCATGCCCGGATGAAAAAGGAGGAGGGGGAGCAGTAACAAGCTCACTAAAAAACCTGGGTTCAGCTGGCCCGGCTGATAGTACCATGTAATGGCTCCTAATCCAGGTATACAGGATTAGCAGCGTTTGTACTCCATGTTAGGAGCGGCTGCACATGGCGTCTGTTCCTCATGTCAGAGGCGGCCATTTCTTTTGGAGCTAAGTCGGCCTACCACTGAGTAGTGTTCCCAGTCTTAATGACAAAGGCAGACGCATTCTACTTCACCCAGTCATGATGGTTGTCAAAGCTTGATACCCTAATATGATTGAGTGGAGGTAAGAAAGAAGAAGAATAAAATTAAACAATAACTACTGCCCTTACTGCAATATAAAATATTGTGTATTGACAACAGAGTATGTTATTGACTTGTTATTTATCATCATTATCATACGTGTGTATTTAAGCGAGACTTAATAACGAACTATCATCTTATGTCACCTGCTTATATCTCCTTAATCCTACATGTCATCGTGGATATAACGAGGCTTCATTACTAATAAGCCAGGCCCTCCCATTGATTTTTCCATTGTAATAAGGGCAGTAGAGATTGTTTAAAAGAATCATACGCATCTATAATAGTGTCAAATAGCTATGCAATTCTGGTCACAAGAAGCCCCATGGGACACCTGTCAATCATCCCTGGACTCCGAGGGGGAACCACAGGTGTGAGGGGTTCTCGGAATCTTATCGGCAAATAAGGAAAACAGGACGTCTCGGTGGCTGACGACGCTCATTATTATTATCTTTACCTTGGGATAAGTTGTTTTATTATCTGACTGTCTCTCCCTATAAATACCTCTTGTATATAATTTTATTGGAGAACTAAAAGGTAAAATACCTTTTATAATAAATTAATTATCACCAAATTTGCCCTTGCTTTATTTATCTCCGCGACAATAGTTTCGAATTTTCATAACAGATGGCGCAATAATATATCATAATAGAATGCATATACTTACTGAATGACATTGACATAGTCGGTGAGTTCTTGGGATGTGGTGATGGCAAAGTTGTTCAGGAATCCCAATAGGACAATGTTGAATTTGATATCTCCAATTTTGTTCTGAACAC